TATTGTTGGAGAGGGCATCCCAGGCGCAGCTCCAGGGCCTGGCGGATCTGCAGGCAGGAGGGTGAGGAGAGGCTGGGGGTGCATTGTGAGGCTCCCGATGCCCCAGCCTTCCCTGGGGGAGGGAAGGGCCTTTGAGGACAATACTCTGTCCCATCAAGGCAGAGAAGCTGAGGCCAGGCACGTGGGAACAGCTTAGACAGCAGGAAAGCTAAAGTGGGAGGCTCCAAGGAGAGGGCCACTCTGGGGCCCAGCCGGAGGCCCCCACAACCAGGACCCCGCTCCCGCCCTGGTCCCCGGCACCCTGCCCACCTCTTTGGAAGTGATGCTCTCCAGGTCACTGGAGTCCAACACCTCCCACAGCTCAGCCCGGATCGCCTGCTCCATCTGCTCCTGTCCTGAGAGCCTGGGAACCGAGCCCATCAGTCCAGGGGCCCCTTCCCCGCTCTGCCGTGGCACAGCCCCCTCTCCTCCCCTCCCTGTACTGACCGGCCGGGCTCGATGCTGGGAGGCCGCAGAGACTCCAGGTCAGCCATGACCATCCACTCGTTGAGGCAGCTCTGGTCAGAGCTCAGTCTGTCCTGGTAGTGGCTGGCCCAGGCGAGGGCACTGCCCCCTGGCACAAGACCACTGCCTAGAGCCGCCTCACATGCCTGGTGCAACACCTGGAGTGTGGCCCTGGGACAGAGGAGAGGCTGGGTCACGCTGTCCTCCCTGCTGCCCCTACCCAGACCCTGAGCCATCTTCAAGACCCAGCCCCTTACCACATGGTCTGGATGCAGACTGGCTTGAAGATACGACTCTGCCCACCAGATGTCACACTGAAGCCCCTGTGGGAGATCAGGTGGGGGTGGAACCCAGCTCCTGGCTCTGGGACAGGGCCCCCTGAGAGGCCTACCCACTAGCCACCTAAGGCTGGTCCTCAAAACATACACACATCATCTAAACTTCAAAATAAGCCCTGTTGCCAGATATGGGGCAGCTGAGGCCCAGAGCAGTTAGGTGACTTGCCCAGGATCACACGGTGAATCTCAAGTGGAGCTGAGAGTAGGCCCAGCCTAGAGTTCTGCAGTTGCTCCCCAGTACCCACCACACCCCTGCACACCCCCCGCATACATCACACTTAGTTATTCCACCCTCTGGCCCCTCTCCTTTCCCTTCCCTCCAGTTGCCACCTCTTACCCGTCTCCATCTAGGTACACCTGGGTGTCACTCCAGAGAGGCAAGACCAGGCCTAGGGTGCAGCTGGGGGAGCTGGCAGGGACAGAGGGAAAGCTGTTGTCACCCAGCACCTCCCTTCCTTGCCCTCCTCCCTTCCTCTCCCTGCTCCCACCTGCTATCAGGGAAATCCACGCCCAGAAGGACTGTCTCATCCTGGCTCAGACGTTCTCTTGTGGAAACTACCAGCAGGTAGCGGAGCCTGGCGGGCCGGGCCGCCTCCAGCTGGGCTGCCTGGGGAAGATGGGAAGGGAAAAGCCCGGGGTCACAGTGACCCAGAGGACCCTGCTCCCCCCACCCCTACCTGACACACAGCCGGGTCTAGAACAGACCTGCCACCTGCTCCCTCCGCACCCATCCCTCTCTTCCCAGATACCAGATCAGTGGTTACAATCTAGTGGTTCCCAACTTTGGGATCTCATGGTCCAATAAAATGTTTAGAAAGATTCTTCTCAGAGAGGGTGTGTGTGAACAAAAGGGGAGAATGGGCATGACAGATTGCCCTTTTTTTTTTCTGCCTAGGAAGGAGGTTTAAGAAACACCTTTCCACTTGCCATTACCATAATTTGATTCAAGGAATGTTTTTCACCAAAGAACTGTTAAGAACACAGTTTCACAATAAAGGATGGTGCTTCTGTGGAATTAATTCTGCCTTACAAAAAACTGACTGCATCTTGTTTTTCCCATTGCTGCAGTGAGATTGTTCCACAGGCATCTGGGAACTGGTCCTCACTTTCCCGCCTGTGTCCCATTCCCGCACGGGCCCCTCCAGCACATGAGCCCACGGTGGGTGCTCAGCAGGCCCCCCTGAGCACCAGTTTATTTGTGGGCAACTCACATAGTAAGGAAGGTCTTGTGCTGGTTGAACAGAAACCCGCCTCTGGGTAATTCCCAGCTCTTGGACCTAATCTGACCCTACAGGCTCACATCGGACAAACCTCCCCATCCTTTCCCAGCTCTCCAGAGACCCGAAGACATGGCCGGATCGCCCTGTTAAGACAACTCTAGCCGAAACAGCAGAGTCATCGGGGTTTGGGTAACCGCTACGCTCCCCAGGGGGCCCCCTGCTCTCACACCACTGCTCCCCAAACACACACACACTGGCCCCATTCCACCCTCTCCTCCCACCTGGGGAGTGGCTCTCTCCCCTTTCAGAGGGCCAGAGGGCTCTGGACGGGGCCCTCACCAGGCGGATGTCGTCTTGTGGCCTTAGCAGCCCCACCATGAGGCGCAGGTGCTGACTCTGTTCCTGCTTCCTGAGACTCTGGGGCCCATGCCCGTCGTCTGTCTGGTCCCCGTGGGGCTGCTCCTCCCCGGGGGGGTCCTCCACTGGCTCAGAGCTGGCCTTGGCTGCATCTCCATCATCGCCTCCATCCTGCAGTCCCAGGACAGCCCCGCCGAGTACTGCAAAGCTCTGCCTGGCAGGGGAGCAGGGAAACCATGATGGCCCATCATAGCTCTTAGGACAGGGGTGTGTCAGAATCACCTGGAGGGCTTGTTAAAACGTGCTGGACCCCATCCCCAGAGACTCAGTGGACCTGGAGTGGAGGCCTGAGAATGTGCATTTCTAACCAGTTCCCAGGTAATGCTGCCCCAGCACTTTGGGAAGCACTGCCTTGGGGGCTCTCAAGCCTCCAGCCCACCTGTTCTTGTCTGAGGAGGGGTGGAGGCTGCTTCCTTTTCCTTCCCACCTGCCTAACTCAGTAGATACTGTGAACCTGGTGGGGACTCAGGAGTCCTCAGGCCCTGCCGTCACATGCTGCCCACTGGCTCGTGACCACTGGCCACAGCCAGGTCCAGGACAGTGGGTGAGGGAGCTCCAACTGACCAGGGGGAAGATGAAAGCAAAGGCAGCCAGCTGTGCCCACCAGCTGTGCCTACTGGCAACACTGCCCCACATAGTACGTAGTGGGCTTTGGCTGCAAGTCCTCCAGGATGGCTGTGGCCAAGGCTGGCGGCTGGACGGAGGTGCGTGTGTTGGGAAGAGGTGCTCACCTTCGCTGGAGCCGGCTTCTGCGCTGGGACACCTGGTCCTGCTGAGAAAGCAGCCCCCAGGGCAGAGTGAAGAGGCAGGGAAGGATTCTCCTCTCCCCTGTCTCAGGGCTGCTGTGGTGGATGGTGGAGGGATCGCGCCCCCTCCGCGCACACCGCCCCTCCCCGCAGTGGGGAATGGAACCAGAAAGGGGGTCAGGTCCCCTTGGCGCTGCAGTCCACTCTCCACGTGGAGGCACTGGGGGAGCCCGGGCCCAGGTTCCGGTCCACCGGCCGGAGGTAAGGGGGCGGGGGGGGGGGGAAGGGTGCGGGCGGTCGCGGCTGGAGCGCCTGAGGCTTTGGCCCCTGTCTGGGCCCAGAGCGGGGTAGGGCCTCCGCAGGCGGTCACGGCTCCGGATCTCGCCTTGGTCCGAGTTCCTGATTGCCTCAAGATTCCCCCCCCACCCCCCCCCCCCACAGCCTGAGACTTGAAGTCCCCCTCCGCACACCCCCAGGCTTCAGGGGAGGCTGCCCGTGGACAGCAAACACTCCCCCAGGCCCAACTGGCAGCCAGCTGCGTGGGCAGGACCACAGCAGAGCCAGACTCACCGTGGGCCCCACAGGCGTGGAGTGGCCGCCGGCCGGGGGCGAGCGGCTTACTGTGACCAGGGCCATGGGACCAGACCGGGGGCACCTGGGCCGGCAGGGGCACAGCACCCTCCCGCAGCCCCACGGACAGTCCCTGCCCCGCAGGACCAGGAAGGAGAGTCCGGAGCCACCAGGGCCTGGCACCTCCTCGAGGGCGGACCTTAAAGGGCCAGACACCCGTCCAGCCCGACCTGAGGAGCCCGCAAACAGTGGCCACCGCCCCTCCCTTCGTGTCTCCACAGGTTCGGTCCGCCTCGTCCCCGCCCCCCGAAACACGTTGGGGGCGGGGCGCAGGTGCGGAGCCCGGCAACGGCGGCGGGAAGGGGCAGCCTACGTTGGGTTCAGGGTTCGGTCCCTCCTCACAGGAGGCGCCCCTGCCCCTGTCCTCCCTGCTCCGCCCAGTTAGGTCACCTGAGCTGTGCTCTGGGCCTCAACCGTTCTGCTAGCAGCAGAGATGGGACCTAGGGAGGAAGGACTGAGGACCCGGGTCTTGGAGAGGACCAGAACCCGTGGGTCTTAAGTGGGGAGCACCCCAAACTTCTTTCTCCTCGCCGGTTGGCCCTGGCGCTTCCACTCAGCATGAATCACTGAGAGACACTCGAAGCTTCAGGGGATATCAGGGTGGGTTTAGAACTAACCCCTGAGGCTCACAGCAGGTCCTCAGGGCCACCTCGGAGGTGAGCAGGGCAGGGCTGAGCAGGTTCACAGCGGCGGCAGAGGGAAGTGACTTGTCTAATGTCACTGCAGTAGAACCTGCCGGAGTCAGGTCAGGAACGCAGGCCTGGGGCGCAGGGCCTCCTCTGACCCGGCAGAGTCCGGAGAACCAGCCTCTCCCCGTCCCTGACACAAGCAGGCGTGGGTTCCCGGAAAGCCTGGCTGTGTGGCCGGAAGAACCGGGGTCTCCAGTAGGTGGGATAGGGCTCGGGGGAACTGACGTTCAGGGAGCACCTACTAGGGCACCTGACACCTGTCGGCTCATTTTACCCTCCCAGAAGCCCTGGGGGTGGGAGGCGGTCTCATTTACAGCTGAGGACACTGAGGCTCAGAGGGGCTAAGGGGACCACGGTCAGGATTCAAACCCAAGTCTAAGGCCATTGCCCACAGTGTCTCCCCTCGGTGCCCCCCAGCACTCCCCCCCCAGCCCCCCGCAATGAGCGGAGCAAGCCTGCTGCTGAGGGTCTCTTTATTTCCATCTCAGTCTCCAATGCACGCCCAGCCGCAGGGCTCCAGGCCCCAAGCCCAGCAGCAGCAGAGTGTCTATAAATAAATAAGTTACAAAAGTAGGGGGCGGTGCAGCCCCGGGCAGCCCTCCTGAGGGCGGGGCTCAGAGCTCCGTGAGCGAGCGCTGTAGGGTCCGCTGTAGGTCCTCCTCCTCCCGCCGCCCCCGCCGCTCCCACTCCGCCTGCTCCCGCGCAGACAGCTCCAGGGCCAGGCGAAGCTGCTCCTCAAAGCTCGGGGGCGCCCTGAGAGGGGCCCCCGGACCCTCAGGCTCTGTGGACATCTGCAGGCTTTCCTGGAGGGCCCTTCCAGGCGAGGCATGAGAGGGGAGAGCAGACCCGTGAGCGCTAAGGCTGGGGAGGAGGCCGAGGGCTGGGACATGGCTGCAGAGGCCGTAGATAAGGACAGGGAGGCTGGGACCCGAGGACCGGAGACAAGAGACAAGGCCGGGCCCTGTCTCCCCATCCCTCGTGCCGCCCTCGCTGGTGGGCAGCACGGAAGATGGAGGGTGGCCTCAAAGAGGGTGTGGGGTCCTGGGGCCAGCACCTCCCTGCTACTTGACCCCACCAGCCAAGAACCCCCCCAGCCGGCAGGGTCCTCGAGGCAGGGCGGGGCTGAGACATGGACCTGGCAGGTCCCGGAGGGCCTCACCGCTCCAGCTGAAGCTGCTCCTCGTAAGCCGTGACCTGGGGAAGGTGGGCACCAGGCCGGGTGTTGGTCAGGGCTTCCCAGACAGTCACCTGCAGCAGCCAGAGCCCGGAGCTGTCACCTCTGCCACCCCTGCCCACGCCCGGGGCCCAGCTCCTGCCCGCACCCCACCTGCTCCGCCTCCGTGCCCGCCTCCAGCAGGCTCTGCTGGATGGCAAACTGCAGCAGGTCGTCGTCCTCGTCGCGAAGGGGCTCGCTGCGCTCTGCGCCCAGCACGCTGTACCCGTCGGGCACCTCAAACACGGCGGGGTCCACCTCACAGGGGAAGGGGCTCGCTGGGTGCAGCAGAGGGGTCGTGCTCAGCCCCTGGTGCACAGAGACCAGCGAACCTCACGGCCCCGCGCCCGCCCACGGCGGTACCTGAAGCTGCGATGGCAGAGCCGGGCGCCGGCACCCACACCGAGCTCAGGGGCTCGTCACAGCCACACAGGTTGCTGAAGGTGATGCGGGCGTTGAGCACGTGGAAAAGGGGGATCTCTGTGAGGAGATATCGAGCCTGAGCCAGCCCTGCAGCCCGTGCCCACCCCACTCCGGGGGCCCTCCTGCTGCCCGGCCCACCCTCTCACCAATCTTGACCGGGAAGCCGGGCGGGAGGCGCAGGGTGATGAAGTCCCGCAGCTTGGCAAAGTGAGCGTTGCTGATGGCCATCAGGTCGATGATGGGCATCACCTGGTCACCCAGGGAGAGCGGGTGCTCCTCGCTCAGCCACAGTGTTGCCTTGAACCTGCCCGGCCAACCGCAGGACGTGGGTCAAGGAACCTCTGGTGGCCCCTCTGCTAAGGCGCACCTACTCTGGACATCTGCCTCTACTGCTCTCCACCTGGCCTGGGGGACCCTCTTCTCTGCTCAGCTGCTCCTGCCTGCCTCCCCCAGGAGCTCATGTCCTTCTGGCCCTACAGCCTGAGCTGCCCCCCGGCCCTGGGCTCAGGCTGGGCCCCGGGCGCTCTGTGCCAGCTCAGCTCTCCTGGACGAGGAGGGCAGGGCTGAGCTCCTGGCTTCAGTCCCGCCTCGTCCACAGCCCTGCCCTCCTCCTCGGCCCACAGCCAGCCAGCACGTCGCACTTCACCGTACTCTGGGGTCCCGCACAGCCCGACAGTTCGGGACCGCAATGCTGGGGTCGCATCCCAGCCCCGCTGCTGCGTGGCTGAGGGAGTCCACGTGAGGTTCCTGGCACAGTGCTGGGCCCACCAGACGCACTAGAAGTCACGGCTCATCAGAGCCTCACAGCACCTTTGTGAGCAGGTGGCCAAAGGCAACTGTTCTCGTTTTACTGAGGGGGAGGACAGACTCTCAGAGGGGAAGGTGATTCCTTGGGCCACGAAGCCAGGAGGTGTTAGAGCCGCGTGCCCTTCCTGTCTGCCACAAGCTGGCCCCCAGCGGGTGCTCGTTCAGTTGAACAGAAAACCATACATGGGTGGTGCTGCCCATTCATTCGTTCACCAAGAAGAGCGACCAGTCCTCTGAGCCAAGCCCCGAGCTGGGTGCCAAGGACCATGGCTAAAGCAGACCTGGCCCGGCCCCCAGGGAGTGAGTCGAGAAGGCAGCCAGCTGGGTGAGTGAGTCCCCCACTCCAGGGGGCCCTGTGTGTGACAGGGTCTGCAAGGGCTCGGGGGCACCAGGCAGGGTCCCCTGTCCCAGAGGGAAGCCCCCCGCCAGCCCCCAGACCTCACCTCTGTACTTTGCTGGACATCTCAATGGGGCGGCCGATGTTCCTCGACTCCAGGCTGAAGTTGGGGTCAAAGTACTCGTCGGGGGAAATGGCGGTGGGGTTTGTGGGGCTGGCTGCCTGCTGCACAGGAGCCTGGGTGGCCCCGGGACCAGGCTTAGCGCTGGGGAGGCGCCGGCCCGGCCCCGCCCAGTGGGCCCTGCCAGTCGGCCCCCAGCCCCCGCCCCCCCAGTCCCGGCTCACCCCATTGTGGGAGGAGTGCTGCTGGGCCATCCCAAGGAAGGACTGGAATGGAGTCTTCCCCCCTAAGGAGAAGGGGTGGAGCCCATGAGGGGACCTGGGGCCACTGCCCCCAGACTGCCCACACCTAGCCTCCACCCTGGGAGCCTCCCCTGTGGTGGAAGGCGGAGCAGACGGGAACGGGGAAGCCTTCCAGCTGGTCCCAGATACTCTGGCCCTGACCCCAGATCAGGGTGACCACCCCGTACGGTGTGACTGGGCAGCAGGCAGGCGCACCTGGGTTTACCTTTGCTCCTCGACTTGTCCTGATCGGAGAGGTGCTCCGTGCGTGTGCGTGTCACCAGCTCCACATTGGTGGCGCTGTATACCTGGGGAGCAGGGGGGACACAGGGGGAGCTGGGGGCTCAGAGCCTGCTGCCCACACTCAGCCTCACCAGCACAGGACCCAAGTCCTCCTGTCCCCAGGGACAGATAGGATCTCACTCCCCACAGTGGAGGGGGTGGGGTCTGAACCCCGGGAAGTCACTAATGAGGGTAAAATGCTCCTGGCTTCATCTCGGTGATCCGGGTAGGGGCCCGTGCTGTGGGTAATCCCTGCGTGCTCAGCAGGGGCTGGGCACTCGGGCCCCACTGTTCCCATGGCCACACAGGGCATCCGGAGCCCACGGGCTGCTGGGTCTCCCTCCACACAGGGTGGATGTGGAGAAGGGGCAGATTTCCTGGGCCTCGTCTCCTACCCCAGCTCCCACCACTAGCCTCTCCTGCCTTGGCCTCGTAGCCGCTAACGGTTTCCATCTTCTCAGACCGCCAGCCCCAGATACCACATTTGTTCCTGAAACAGACCAAACAGGAGCTCATGAGGACCCACACCCCCCAACTCTGGCCAAAGTCGTCCCTTCCAAAGACCCCCTCCAATTTGCCTTCCTGCTGTGAAACACACAGGGGCCTTGAGGAGGCTGCCTGGACAGCTGGGGACAAATGAACAGAGGACTGAGGACTAGAAAGTACTGGGGAATGATTAATTTTTGCTAGGTGTGATGATGGCGTTGGGGCTTGGTCTAAAAACATCCTTATCTGTTAGAGTCACACGCAGAAGCATTTACTGTTGAAATGATACGACATCTGGGACGTGCTTTAAAATAGTTGGGGGAAAAAGAAAACAGGAAAAAAGTGAGGAAGGGTAGATTCAACAAGATGGGCAAAATGTTGGGAACTCCCTGGCGGTCGAGTGGTTAGGACTCAGCGGTTTCACTGCTGAGGGCCTGGGTTCGATCCCTGGTTGGGGAACTAAGATCCCACAAGCCGTTCGGCGTGGCCAAAAAAAAATTTAAAAAAAAGATTGGCAAAATGTTGATAAATGCTGAAGTTGGGTGATGAGAACATCATACTAGTCTCTCTTCTTTCATATGTGCTTGAAATTTTCCATAATAAAAATTTAAAAATAAAGCTATGTCTGATTCAACAATAATAGTTGGAGATTTCAGTACCCCACTTTCAATAATGGATAGAACAAGCAGACAGAAGATCAACAAGGAAACAGAAGACTTGAACACGCTACGAACTAGACTTGATAGACATCCTTAGATCACTCCACCCAACAACAGAATACATATTCTGCTCAAGGGCATGTGAAACATTCTTCAGGATAGACCGTGGGCTCGGCCATAAAAGAGACCTCAATACAACTGAAAGGACAGAAATCATACACAGAATGTTCTCCAATCACAACTGAATGAGGGCTTCCCTGGTGGCGCAGTGGTTGGGAATCCGCCTGCCACTGCGGGGGACACGGGTTCAAGCCCTGGTCCGGGAGGATCCCACGTGCCGCAGAGCCATCTGGACCCGCGAGCCACAACTACTGAGCCCACGTGCCACAACTACTGAGGCCTGCGCGCCTGGAGCCTGTGCTCAGCAACAAGAGAAGCCACCACAATGAGAAGCCCGCTCACTGCAGTGAAGAGCGGCCCCTGCTCACCGCAACTAGAGAGGGCCCGAGCGCAGCAGCAAAGAGGCAACGTGGCTAAAAATAAATAAATAAAATAAATAAATAACAACAACAACAAGAAAGCAACCTTAATTAAAAAAAAAAAAAAAACTGGGCTTCCCTGGTGGCGCAGTGGTTGAGAGTCCACCTGCCGATGCAGGGGACACGGGTTCGTGCCCCAGTCCGGGAGGATCCCACATGCCACAGAGCGGCTGGGCCCGTGAGCCATGGCCGCTGAGCCTGCGCGTCCGGAGCCTGTGCTCCGCAACGGGAGAGGCCACAACGGTCAGAGGCCCGCATACCGCAAAAAAATTAAAAAAAGACAACAACAAAAAAACTGAATGAAATCAGAATCAGTAACAGAAAAAAGATGACTTGGGAAATTCATGAATATGGGAAGAGTAAACAACATACTCCTAAATAACCAATGGATCAAAGAATAAATCAAAAGCAAAATCAGAAAATACTTTGAGATGAATGGAAACGAAGATACAACATACCAAAACTTATGGGACACAACTAAAGCAATGCTGAGAAAAGAAACTTATAGCTGTAAATAACTATATTAAGAAAGAAGAAAGATCTTATATCAATAAGCTAACCTTCCATATTAAGACACTGGGAAAAGAGCAAAGTAAACCCACAGCAAGCAGAAGGAAGGCAATAATAAATATTAGAGTGAAAATTAATGAAATGGAGAATAGAAAAACAATAGAGAAAATCAATTCAACCAAAAGCTGGTTCTTTCAAAAGATCAATGGAATTGACAAAGAAGGAAGACTCAAACTACCAGAATCAGAAATGAAAGAGGGGGCATTACTACTGACATTACAGAAATAAAAAGGATTATAAATAAAAGAATATGATGAACAATTGTACCCCAACAAATCAGATAATTTAGATGAAGTAAACAAACCCTAGAGAGACATAAACTACCAATACTAACTCAGGAAGAAGTAGATAATCTAACAGACTTGTAACAAGTAATGGGACCGAAGCAGTAAAAACAAAAACAAACCAAAAAGTACCCACAAAGAAAAGCCCAGGCCCAGATGGCTTCACCAAAGAATCCCACCAAACTTTTAAAGAAGAATTAATACCAGTTATTCACAAACTCTTGCAAAAAATAGACAAGGAGGTGACACTGCCTAACTCATTCAATGAGGCATTGTCCAGATACTAAAACCAGGCAAAGACATGACAAGAAAACGATAAACCATTACCTCTTAGGAATATGGACACAAAATAGTAGCCGACCAAATCTAGCAACACATGAAAAGAATGATACACCACGACAAAGTGAAATTTATCCCAGGGATACGGGGTTGGTTCAACATCTGAAAATTAACTGATAGCAACACATATCAATAGAATAAAAATAAAAGTCACGTGATCATATCGATAGACACAGAAAAGGCATTTGACAAAACCCAAACCCTTTCACAATAAAAACACTCAACAAACTAGGAACAGAAGGCAACTTCCTTGGCCTGATAAAGCATACCCACAACTAATGTCACACTTAATGATGAAAGACTGAATGCTTTCCCCCTTGTTTCTTTATCAGAAACAAGATAAAGATGTCTGTTCCTGCCACTCCTATTCAACATTCTACTGGAGGTTCCAGACAAAGCATTTAGACAAAAAAAAAGGAAATAAAAGGCATTCGGATTAGAAAGGAAGAAGTAAAACTATTAACAGATGACACGGTCTTACATATAAGAAATATGAGGAATCCACTAAAAACCCATTAGACCTAAAAAATGAGTTTGACAAGATTGCAGGATGTAAGATCAATATATAAAAATCAATTGTATTTTTATAGATTTGCAATGAACAGTTCAAAAATGTAATCGAGAAAACAATGCAATTTATAACAAAAAGAATAAAATACTTAGAATAAATGTATCTACTGTAAGTGTAAAACTTATACTCTGAAAACTACAAAACATCATTGAAAAAAAATTAAAGATCTAAAACGGAAAAATATCCAACGTTCATGGCAGAAGACTTAACATTATTAAAATGGCAACACTCCCCAAACTGTTTTACAGATTCAACACGAACACTATCAGAATCCCACCTGAATTCTTTGTAGAAATTGACAAGCTGAATCTGGAATTCATATGCAATTTCAAGGGACCCACCCAGAATACGTAAAATAATCCTGAGAAAGAAGAACAAAGTCGGAAGACTTATACTTTCCAATTTCAAAAACTTACGACAAAGCAACATGTGATTAAGACAGTGCACAAAGAGAGTCATACAGACCAGTGGAATAGAACTGAGAGTCTAGAAATAAACCCATACATCTCTGGTCAACTGATTTTTCCACAAGGGTGCCAAGACAATTCAATGGGAATTAACAGTCTTTTTAACAAACGGTGCTGGAACAAGTGGATAGTCACATGCAAAAGAATGAAGCTGAATCCTTACCTCCCACCATATACAAATATTAACTCAAAATAAATCAAAGAGCTAACTGTAAGAACTAAAACTACAAAACTTTCAGAACAAAACATAGGGGAAAATCTTCATGACTTTGGATTTGGCAAAGTATCGTTAGATATGACACTAAAAGCACGAGCAACAAAAGGAAAAATAGATAAAGTGGACTTCATGAAAATTAAAAACTTTTGTGCTTCAAAGGACACCATCAAGAAAGTGAAAAGACAACCCACAGAATGGGAGGCAATATTTGCAAATCATGTAGCTGATAAGGGATTTCTACCTAGAACATACAAAGAACTCTTGTAACTCAATAATAAAAGATAACCCAATTTTTAAAATGGACAAAGGGGGACTTCCCTGGTGGCGCAGTGGTTGGGAATCCACCTGCCAATGTGGGGGACACGGGTTCAACCCCTGGTCCGGGAGGATCCCACATGCCGCGGAGCAGCTTATCCCGTGCGCCACAACTACTGAGCCCGCGCTCTGGAGCCGGCGAGCTGCGACTACTGGGCCTGCGGGCCACGGCCCTCAGCGTGCACCTAGAGCCCGTGCTCCGCAACAAGAGAAGCCGCTGCAATGAGAAGCCCATGCACCGCGGTGAAGAGTGGCCCCCGCCCGCCGCGGCTGGAGGGGGCCCGCGCGCGGCAACAAAGACCCAATGCAGCCAAATTAATTAATTAATTTTTGAAAAAGATAAAATGGGCAAAGGATCTGAATAGACACTTCTCCAAAGAAGATATACAAACGGCCAATAAGCACATGAAAAGATGCTCAACATCATTAGTCATTAAGGAAATGTAAATCAAAACCACAATGAATACCACTTCACACCTGCTAGGATGGTTATAACACCAAAATAAATAAATAAATAATGAGCAGTAAGTGTTGGTGAAGATGTGGAGAAATTAGAACCCTTATATACCGCTGACGGGAATGTAAAATGCTGCAGCCCCTTTGGTAAATAGTCTGGCAGCTCTTCAAACAATTAAACATCTGTGTTTAATCACCACATGTCACCACACGACCTAGCAATTCCACTCACAAGTAAATACCCAAGAGAAAGAAAATGTATGTCCACACTAAAACTTGTACACTAACGCTCAGAGCAGCATTCTTCATAGTCAAATAGTCAACAGTCAAAAGGTGGAAATAATCCTTATGTCCATCAATGGACGAATGAATAAACAAAATGTGGTATAGTCGTGCAGCGGACCTGGCCATAAAAAGGAATGTATCAGTTACACGCTACAACTTGGCTGAACCTTGAACACATGACGCTAAGCAAAAGAGGCCAGTCACAAAAGACCACACATATTGTATTATTCTATTCATATAAAAATCCAGAACAGGAAAACCTATAGAGACAGAAAGTAGATTAGCTGGGGGGGAGGGGATTGTTGATTGTTAAAGGCAGTTGATTGGGAGTTGATTGTTAAAGGGTACAGGGTTTCTTTCTGAGGTGACAGAAATGTTCTAAAATTGGACGGTGGTACCGGTTACGTATCTGTGAAGATACTGAAAACCACTGAACTGCATACTTTAAATAGGTGAACGGTACAGTATACAAAATTATATCTCAAGAAAGCTGTTTTTTGAAAAAAAGTGTTTCTGAAGTCTGTTATTGGAACTGGGGCACATGTTGTCAGAAAAATAACACCCTGCCGGAAGGGTGGGCTCCTAGGTTACCCACAAAGGACTCTGGCCCAGACACAGCTGCACCGCTGAGAAGCCGACCTTGCTGCAAACAGCTGCCCTGCACAGCAGCCTCAATCCTCGTTTTTATGGGAAACACGTGAGGTCAGAAGTCAGGAAACTGGGGACTCCCTGACCCAGCCTCCTCCCAGGGAGACAGCTGCCAGTATAGACAGGCGTGCAGGAGGTGGAAGGTGCCACAGGACCCAGGACCAGCAGGTGGTCCAGAAGAGACACCGGGTCTGCAGGGACCCCCCTCCCCCTCCCGAGCAGCCTCTGCGAGGGGCTCAGCCTCCCAGAAGCCTGAACTAGAGGCTCGAGGGCACTACCCACGGTGTGGCCAGGGCCCAACTAACCTCTCGAAGGCCACATTGCGAGTGTCCAGGTGGGTGGAGACGATGGGAGAGGTGAGGCGACTGGCCACATGCTCCTCACTGGGCCGCATGGTGGCCAGCAGCGCTTCAGGCTCGTGCAGCGTGAGCCCCAGTGTCTCCGTGTGCACCAACTGCCGGTCGTGGTCAACTTCCATCACCAAGGCTCCCGCCTCTGCCAGCCGGCGCGGGGGTGTGAGGGGGACGAATAAGTGCCAGGACCAGACAGTGGCCAGAGGGCTATCGTGGTGCCCTCAGCCACCTCCTGCCACGGGGTGTGGCCTCAGCCTCTGGACGCCCTCCACCCCGACCTCCATTTACACATCTGGAGACAGAGACAGAGGACAGCACTGTCCTCACAAGCCACGGGAGAACCTGGGGGCCCTGGTCTGCTGCGTGCCTGCGGGGAGCCCCCCAGAGCTCACCCTGGCCCTTGAAGATGAAGCTCCTCCGGCCGCGTTGCCAGGTCATGTGCTCAAAGCCCAGGAGGCTGGTGTCCACCCGCAGGTTCTCACCCCGCTTCCACACGCGATACACGTCACTCGGGCACATCTTGGACACGAGGGGCACTGCAGGAGGCACAGAGGTCACCAAGGTTCTTTCCCAACGGCCCCAGCCCAGGCCCCTGAGAGCCAAGAGGTCCCCACTCACCCCAGCTGGTGAACTCCCACTTCATCTCCACGTAGAAATCGGGGGCCTGAGATAGACCAGAGCACCGATCAGGGCCCTGCCTGCAGCAGGGCCCAGCGGGCCTGGGAAGCCCCTCGTCCACAGGCCCCCTTCTGGGAGCCCAGCCCTTCCCCAACCAGGGATCAAACCCAGCCCCCCACAGTGAAAGCACGGAGTGCCAACCAGGGAATTCCCTCAGTGAGGTGTGATGTGCCGCCGTGGTCCAGCTTTGCCCCCAACCCAGCCAAACCCCACCCAGTAAAGGGTGGGCCAAGTGGGGCCTGAAAAGTCTGCAAGTCATCAGGCTATAAGCATCTGCAAGCCTGGGGCCAGGCTCAACCTGGCCACTAGCCCACTGGGGGTCCCTGGGGGAGCTTCTGCCCCCTCTGGATCCCAGAGTCCTCATCTGCAAAGGGGGCATAGTGACCCCCTGGGGCCCTGCCCCCGGGGTGGAGGGCACAAGGTAGTGTGCTCTCCCAGTGGGGGCCCCCTACCCACCCACTGTGTGCTTTGAGAAGGGTGGACAGGAGTCCAGGCCGCAACTGCTAAGTTGGATGAAATCCGCCTTTCAGTAAATCTGCATTAACCAGGAGATCCATGATCTAAAGCTCTGTTGAGATTTCTAGCACTAGAGAACCCTCTATGCTAGCAAAAGGCTTTCTCTCCAAAGGGAGAAAAGCCTCATTCACATGGGCCTGGTTGCCTCTCTTTCCTACATCACCCTGGGTTGGGGTCAAGAGAGAGGGACCTCACTGACAGTGTCAGGAAAGCATGCTGCACAGGCTGGGTGCCCTTCCAAGGCCAGGCCCGGCAGGGTTACCCCACATAGTCTGTCACGGTCCCCTCCATGGCGCCCCACACCCCCCTTACTGGCCACACCTCTACGTCCTGCTGTACCTGGCGGAGTTTGTTGAGCAATTCCGGAATGCCAGCCAGCCTCTGCGTGGCCCTCTGGTAGTCCCGATACTGAAGTACCAGCTGCACCATCTCAGGGTCCCCAGTGCTGACTGCCTCCTGCAGGACTGGGGGCACTGGGCTGCTGAGGGGAGCTCTCTAGATGGCTCCAGGCCTGGCCATTCACTCCCACACACCACCACCACCACCCCCCGCTGCCAGCCTCAGGGGAGCCCCTTTGCCCTCTGCAGTACCTGCCCAGCCCTGGCAGCTCTCTTTGCCCACGTTGGCATTGTGTCGAAGGAGGACTCTCACGGACTCCAGGTTCCCCAGGGACACGGCCAGCTCCAGGGGGGTGCGCCCCCGGGGGTCTTCCTGTTCGATGTCGTGCTGGGGGAGATGAGACACTCAGCACAGGGCAAGTAAGGAGAGGCCAAGGCAAGAAGGCCACTGGGATGAACAGGGTTGGGAGTCACTGCAGGAAATAAGGACAGCACACAGGTGGTGGAAATGGCAAAGGGTGGCCTGAGTGTCCTGGCAAAGGAGGAGAGGGGGTAGGTGAGAAGGGCCTGCCCACCTCTCCTGCCCTCTGCGAGGGACAGAGCTGGGGGCCCGGTGGTGGTGGGCAGGGGTGGGGGTGGGGTGGGGGGAGGGCCTGGTCTGGTAGAGGTGCAGCTGCCGATGTCAAGAGTTTGGACTGACTTGGGGACCAGGACCGGGCTGCTTTTCTCAGACTGGCTTAGGGGTGGTGCGGCGCGAGTTCGGAGGCTGGATGCAGTGTGAAGCGGGGAGACCGACAGGGCAAGGCCCAGCGCTGGGAGCCGAGGTCAGAAGCCCAAGCTCGAGGAGCAGGTGACCTCTCTTCTGGGCCGGGAAGAGGGAGCCGGGCAGGCGGCCTCCCGATGCAGACCACAGATTTGGGTGGGGGACCAGGAGGACGGCCCGGGCGCCCGATGGGCCTCACCTGGCGGCTGTGCAGCGCGGCCTCCAGTTCGCGGTGCCGGTTCGCCCAGACTAGCCGATGCAGCGGGAAGGTGGGGCCCGGGCCTGCCATGCTGGGCCTCAGCGCCTCATCCCGGGCGGGCCGGCGGGCGCGGCGGGGGCGGCCCGGCTCCGCCTCGGCTTCGGGCCTGGCGCGGGCCCTTCGCCTCCCGTCCGCGCCGAGCCGGAGCAGTGCCCACCGCAGCCCCCGCGCCCCCGCGGCAGTGGCGGCAGCGGCGGCGTCGCAGGCAGAGGGGAGGGCGGGTTCGGCGGGCTCGGCGGGCGGGGCTGCGCCGAGGCGGGGCGGGGCGTCGGGCCTGGCGCGCCCTTGCTTCGCAGCCGCAGAAACCTCAGCCCGGCCGGCACTCGCCGGGGGCGGGCGAGGGGTGCTGCCCAGCAGCCCTGGTGACCACGTGCGCCAGGGCAGAAGCCAGGACCTGCGTCTCAGCCCGGGTCTCAGCCGGGAAGGGTCTGCGGAGGGCGTTCCGGAGGGCGGGGCCTGGATGCAGCTCCGCCAGCGCCCGGCAGGAGGCGTCTCAGACACGGCGCAGACCCATCCTGGCGGGTCCGGAAGGGGAAGGAGGGAGTCCGGAGACTGGGCGGTTCGGCGAGGGGCGGGGCCGGGGTCCCCGGGACGTGAGCGCGAGTGTGCGCGTGCGTGCTCAGCGGGCCGCGGGCCGGTGGCTCTTGGGGTACGCGCGTTTCCCCGGCAGTTCCTTGCCTGTGACCCCGTGTTCTTACCCAGACCCCGCGGTTACAGACCAGGCCTGTGTGTGCGGGTGGGATGCGAGGTGCGGGCTTGCCTCCCCATCACCTCTGAGATGCCCCTAAATGCTGACCAGCTTAGCCTGAAGCACCTTTCTCAGGGACCTGGGCCAGTGTATGCTGCTGGCACACCACAGGCTGGACCTTGCCCTGGGGTGGGGGGTGCACTGGAGTCAGGAATGGGGGTACGGGGGGGTGGGGGAGCAGGCCTGGCTAGCTCTAGGTCTTCTGGAGGGCTGTTCACCGTGAGTGGCTGCTTTCATCCATCGCGTACATCCCTTTTGCAGAGGCTGCACTTTGCTGCCAGTGTCAGGAGAGGAAGGAGAGTTTCGAAATCAGGGCCAACCCCTCCACCCACACCGGAACCAGGGTGCAGGCCTCCTCCGTTGGTTGAGCTCCGGTGTCCTTACCCTGGCCTTAGCCTGGGTTTTGGTGAGGCAGTGGCCAGGCTTGGCCAAGGCTGACCTTCTGGTTTCAGTCTCCCTATTTAAAAAATGACCAGATAGTTTGATGTAGATGTTTGAGCTGCGTCTCTGGGCTGGGAGGCCCTAGTTGCCATTTTCACCCTGCCCTCTCACTGTGGCCAGGTGGCTCCTGTGCTCTCTGGGATCACTTTGCTATCCTACGCTGTGGTGTCATCAGGTCATTGTAATGTCCTTGGGTCTAGGACAGCTTAAAGGCCTCTGAATGTCCAGAACTCTAAAATCAGTCCCTGCCGGCTGCCTCTGCTGCAGCCTTCTCTAGCCTCCATCTTCCTTAAAAGAGGCTACCCTGTCTCCAAGCCCTCTTCACCCCAAATCTAACGGGACTGTCTCAGGCCCAGCCTCTCCTGATTTCTGCGGCCTTGGACATAACTCCCCCCCCCCCAGCCCTTGACTCCTAATTCCACTGTCTTCTCAACCCTTTCCCGGGGCCCCTGTTGTCCCTCCCCGACTCCCAGTCTGGCTTCTCCCAGCTGAAAGCCTGTCTGTTCCCACTGTCACCCTGATGCCACCTCCAGGACCACATTTCAGCTCCCTCTGGGACACCTTTGTGCCTGATGTCCCATGCAATCCATCAGCAGTTTCCAAACCAGATGCAGCCACATTCACCCTCTTCCCTTCCGGCCAGCTCTGCTCCCTGGCTGTCGTGACTCTGAGTGATAGCACAGGCCTCCTGCTGTGCCATTTTGGACTCCCACTTCTGTCTCGTCCCCAGGTCCCGCCCATTCCCACTGGGCCACGTTCTTCCCATCTGACCCCTTTGCATCTCTTCCTTTACCACCACCATCATTATGACATCTCTTCCCTGGACAGAATCAGTGGCCCTTCACCCGTCTCCCTGCCTCCTGTCCTTCACCTCCTTCCACACGTCCTGCCTGTGGTAACAAGCAACTTGTTCTACAGCCAGCTCTCATCATGCAGCCCCGGTCCAGAGCCTGCAAGGACTCCCCAGAGCCTATCCAGGTTCGGGCTGCATCTCCATTGCCATCTTCGTCGTGCAGTCACTAAGTGCCCCTGGGCTCTGGGGTGGGTTCAGCCTGCATTCAGGGCCTCCCAGGCCTGGCTCCTTCCCACAGTGCTCCTGCCAACCTGAGCCACTCCTGACTGCCGGGCCCTTCCCTGCATCGGAAATGCATCCCCACCTCCTCCACCCCAGTGCTGGAGGCCCAGCTGAAAAGCCATTTCCTCAGAGGCTCCGTGGAGCTGAGTCCTTGCCAGCAGAGTCCTGCACGGAGCGGGCAGCAGCGACATCACCCGTGTGGGCCTGGACGGCAGGGACTTGGGGAAAAGAAAGTTGAACAGAGCCTCTGGGTACATGAGGCCTGGTGCTGGGGTATCCCTCAGGCTCAGGCTTCAGGGACCTCTACTGGAGGCTGCACAGCAAGGCCGGAGGTAAGACCAAAGCCAGAGAAGGCGAAGGCCAGAGACTGCGGTGTGGCCCCAAGGGCAGAGGTGCTCATCTGTCCACAGGGGTGTCCTCAGCATGGGTCCTGGAGGGCCAGGTGGGCTCGGTCGGTCCAAACATGACACCAGGCACCAAAGGGCAGGCACCTCCTCCTGCTTCCCTGGCAGTGGGCGGAAGACCCCTTCTGCTCCCACAGGGTAGGAGGGGCGGAGTGGGAGCCCCTCCCCGCCCCGGGGTGCTTGGGCCTGGGCTGGCCGTGGATGCCGGCTGTGGAGGTGGAGGGGATCTGGCACCACCAAGACCCTCTCCTCAGGCCCCAGCCCCGTGGAGACTGAAAATGACCATCGGGCACAAAAGAGTCTGACACAGCCAAGGAGTCAGGCACCATTTTTTATAAAAACGCGTATATCATTTTTCACTCTTTAAAATCACATTCAAAAATCGGCAAAGAGACGCCCCGGGGGGGGTGGGGTGAGTAGATGGGAGTGGAGGGCCCACTGACGCAGCCCCGGGGGAGAGGGCGCGACACCACACACGGCAGCGACTGGCATGAGGGGGCATGCTGCGGGCGAGGTGGCGCCCTGTGGGCAGTGGCACTGACGGGACACGGGGCTCTGGAGCTGGACGGCCGGGGGCACGCACGGAGCGGCCTGGCATGGGGAGGGCTGCCCCACCCGGCCCCCTCTCACTGTGCTGCCCGGCCAGCCCAGGCCGGCCCCCTGTGGTCCTGGGCAGAAGAGGCCCTGCCCAGCCCAGGGAAGGGGGGCTCGGGGCCAGGCGAGGCCAGCGTGGCACAATCCACAGGTGCCTTTTCTGTGGTCCCTGAGCCTGGGTGCTTGGGGTGGGAAGAAGAGGGGGCTTCGGTGAGGGCAGCAGCAGCCGCTGCCAACACCACCCTCCTGGCCAAGCCCCACGGTGTCCAGGGAAGGTGGGAACGGGGGACCCTTCCCAAGAAAGGGTGCAGGAGCCTAAGTCACGCGGGAGGCCCTGGGGTCAGGGAGACAACGGGCCCCCTTGTCTACCGACTAGCTGGAGGGCAGGTCAGTGCAGGGCTGTGTCCCTGTTACAGGAGGGGCCGCGGTGGGAAAATTCAAGTAGCATCCCTGCCCTGCGGCCTCCCCTGGGCTGGGGAATGCCGGGCCACCCAGCTGGGCTGTGGGCACAGAGCTGGAGGTGGCCCAACTCCACGTGGCACCATCCCTGGGGAAGGGGCAGGAGGGCCGCTGGGGGCGGCTGCTCTCCCTGCAGGGGAAGACACCGGGGGTGGGTGGCCCCTGGGGGCGGGGCCGAGGGTGGCTGGACAGTGGCTGGGTGGGCGGCAGCGGGAGCCAAGGCAAGCGGGCCCCTCCCTGGGGGCTGGGCCAGGCTGGGGCCACAGGAAATCACAATAATTACAAAATAAAACCTTTTCCGCTTGGCGGGAAAACAAATAATAAAAATTCAACAAAATAAATTAGAGGTTTATAAAAGGCGGGCGGGCAGGAGGGCGGCCGGGCGGGTGGCGGCAGCAGGTCAGAGGCCGTTGGCGCTGCCGCGCTGCACCAGCGGCACCTTGCTCAGCTCCACAACGGGCGAGCGCGGCTTGTTCTTCATCTTGGGCACCCGCTGCACCAGCTGCTGGGCCTCGCGGTAGGCGTCACGCAGCTCCTTCTTCCATTGCACCAGCTCGGGGTCGCTCTGCACACACCCCGAGGTCTGTCAGGGGGGCCCGAAGGCCACTCTGGCCCCGCCCCCGCCCCCCGCCCCGGGCCCCCACTCACGTCGCACTGCAGGACGAACTGCTTGCCGCCGCGGATCTTGAGGAGGAGGCACTTTCGCTCCTTGATCTGTGTCTCCTCCACCGACTGGATCTCCTCCATGGTCAGCAGGCTCTGCTGCAGGGCGGGGAGTGGGCGGTGAGGGCGCGGGACAGGCCCCGCCAGCCGCCAACCCCAGGGGCTCCCGGCCCCGGCCCGCTCCTTACCGGGGCCTCGCCCTCGCCCCGCCACTCGAGCCGGTTGGGGAACAGGTAGAAGTACCGCCGCTGCCACTGGGTCAGGAAGGGGTTGCCCATCTTGGACATGTAGCCGTGCATGATGCAGTCCTTGCCCAGGGCGTAGTCTGGTGCAAGAGAGTAAGAGAGGGGGACTCAGCCGGGCCCGCTCCGCCCGGGTTTGAATCCTGGGTCGGCTGCTCTCTGGCTGTGACCTTGGCTGAAACCTGAGCCTGTTTCCGATCTTTAAGGTGGGCACTGGGCGCCCACAGCAGCCGCCGACCCTCACCTTCCTCGTGGCCCAGCTGCTTGTTTTTGGTTTTCTTGCGGGCCTCCAGCCGGTCCGTCTCAGCGTTGATGGTGTCGAAGACAGTCTCTGCCACCTCCTGCTGCCACCGCTCCGAGATGGTGAGGGGGAAGTTGCGGTAGAGCTCCTGGTCGCTGTCCAGTAACTTCACCGCAGGGCCAGGGAAGAGACATCCATCGGCCACAGGCCTGCCTGGCCGCAGGGCCCCAGGGCAGGGTGGTCTGGTCCAACTGCCGCCCCCAGGGATGTTTGGGGAGGAGAAGCCTGAGGCCCAACAGGCAGACGGGGCTGGCATGGGGGTCTCACAGGGCAGAGGAGGGAGGAGGATGCCAGCCGGGCTGGGCTTAGAGCTCAGGGTTGAGAGGCCAGGCAAGGCCCAGTACCTTGATTCCTTTTGTGTCCTCCTCATCAAAGGAGCCAATGTCGAAGGCGTCTGCCGCATTCACCTCCCCTCGTGGGGGCATTAGCGGCGGAGGGTACTGCAGCAGAACAGGGGCTGAGCATCAGCTCGGGGCAGGGGCTACAGAGGGCCCCACCCGGCCCCGGCCCCGGCCCCCAGGCTGTTACCTTCTGCAGGAAGACCATCTGCCAGTCCAGGGAACGGAA